CGCACTCTTGAAAAATTGAAGAATTGAAAACTTACATGTTATCATGTTATCGCTGTTAAAATTTTATCTCATATCTTAAAAATCAAAGGAAAATGATTTTTCGAATTTGTTTTTGTTTTTTCTTTGCGACATTTAGGTACCAGGTCTTGCAGAAAACCGCCCATCTGTGTTACGCGGTGATCAAATCTTTGCCTATGAGCCAGGAAAACTACACCAACAATACAAAGGAATAGTGCACAAAGTTCAAAAGCTTGATGTGAAACTTGGCTTCGATTTGAAAAAGTATGTTCTAAATGTAAATTACGGATCTTCTTAGAGCCTTGCATGACTTAGTCAGCGTAGTGTGAGGCTCCATTAGCAATCCTGGTAATTTATTGTTGATTGACTTAGATACCTGAATCGTTCACCCTGCAACTGCACCTGGATCAGAACTACCTATTTTTTGGGTAGATCATCCTTACAATGAGCCTCAGTTAAATTATGGACTGACGAAAGTTTGCGATGAGCCGTAAGTTTAACCTCTGTGGACAGGCACTAAGGTGCGAGGCTGGAGTGATTATGTAACCCTTATTCGATGGTTTATCATATAATACCCTGGGATATTTTGTGAGTTGCGTAGTTTTTTTCGAGCCTCGTGATATACACGAACTTATCCAGAGAGGGGACGATACTTACAGCTGTGCCTCAATTATTTGGAATGCTGCACATTAAATCCCGCGTATTTACTTCCAGCATACCCTACGTGAATGGGAAGAAGTTCGATATTCAGTTCACATTCAATCGACTTTCAGTACAGATGGAACATCGCGCATGTGAGCAGATTGCATCTGTGAACAGGCAAGAAATGCGCCATGTTCTCTTCCCAACAGAAGACAGTCTCGATCAAAGAGGAGAAATAAATAAAGAAGTCAGGTAAGTTGAGAGCAGCATAGATTTGTGAAAAAGGACAAGCATGCTTTGTGTTCTCGAAGTCTTGTTTACGCTTTTCAGGGTGTTCACACATGAGGGAATTACTAGAAATGTATTTTAGTTCTGTGAACACTCAGTAAATATCTCATCGATCCTTGGACTCATCTCTTTGATGTCTATCTCCTCGAGAAAAGCTTAAAGGTTAAATCCTATGGGTCTGCTCTCATGGATATTCTGCACGACCGGGTGAAGCTGCAAGAATCATGCTGGCTCGTGCCAGAGCACCTGTAAGAGGCTGCTCGCGCACACTTATTGGCCTATCAAGCCGAAAAAACTGGTGATCACACTTTTGAATGTTCGTACTAAAAATGCAATTTAAAGCTGCCCTGTAAATTCAACGCAAGGGAATGTTATAGTTACTAAAACCGCAAGCTAGTATGTAAATAGGACTTTTTCGGTAAAGATGCCAAAGTTCAAACTCTATTTAGGATTATGTAATCAATGAACCGCACGAGAATCAAATGTAGCATTTGGCTGGAAAGAAAACCTACTTCTACTTCTATTTTAGATTCTTTTACGATCGCCACCTGAACGGTGAACAACAACAGGCAGTTCAGAAGATTGTGTCGGGTGCGTCACGCCCTGCTCCATATCTCGTGTTTGCACCCCCCGGAACTGGAAAGACTGTTACTTTGTTAGAGGCCATTAAACAGGTGAGGGGAATCTCTTAGGAAGAAATTCGCTTTTCTCGCTGAACTGATAGAAATGGCTTTAGCGCGCAGATATAAGTTGAAAGATTAAATCCGCTCCTTCCGCGCGAATTGCGCTTTGTTGCCTGTGTCCAATGTAAAGTGTACTGTCAGCAAAAATGCTCGCAAATTTTGCAAGTATTTCTCACAGGAGCGTAAATCCTGATCATAGCAAAAGGCAAGTTCGGCCAGAAACAGTTCAGCTGTTGTCAAAGCTGGCTTGTTCCATTTAAGGACTAAAGGGAACTATTAAGTTGTTCTTGCAGTTTCATTTCTGGACTGAAAAAATGAAACCGACAACTAGCTGTCTATCCTCTTTTCGTTGCCTACAGGTGCACGTTTTGATTGGTTCAAGCTACATTCTGGCGTGTGCACCAGAAAACAGTGCTGCTGACCTATTAGCTGAGCGCCTGTTGGCTCACGTAGATAGAGGCAAATTGTTCCGGATGTACGCTACGTCACGGCCCTGGGACTTTGTGCCTCCAAAGCTCAAGGTGAACAGTAATTCTTTTCCTTCAACATTCCATTGAGACACTTTCTCCATAGTCTGTCTGACTTCTGAGTAACAAGGAAAACGGTATAACCTAAACAGATATTTATAGTAATCAAATGCCAGGAATATGTACGGAACCCAGACTTTAAAGAGAGTTTTATAGCAGGTCATAGCTAGCGAAGCACGGCACTGAACTATACCTTAATTGCACTTTTTAGGACGCACGAGTTGTGAATTTTGACCCTGTGTCACATGAAGTGTATTATCCCTCTAAAGAGGACTTGATCAGTGACTATCGTATAGTTGTCGCTACTTTGATTACTGCAGGAAGGTAGGTGGTAATATGATGTGTATAAAGTAACCTGGCAACATCAGAACTAGAAGGCAGAAATTAGGTCAAGTAATGGCGTTATGCATGCAACCGAGCAAATGACCTTTTTTCCTCAAGTGTGGTTTAATAAGACTTCTTGCAGTATAAATATTGAATTACAAGTTTGGCAAGCAAACAATGATAAAGTATTTACACAAAGTATATATCTAAGGAAAAATTTACTGCATTAGCAACTATCAAGCATATATGGCAAAACTAGTGACGTGCAAAGCACATAGCGTATTTGTTTGAGATAAAGTTCTTAACCTGATGGTCGAAGTGCAGCAGATATTTTAATTTCATTCTCTAGGTCTTAATGCGTAACTAGATGAAGTATCTACTAACAATAACGTGAGTGACAAAGAAAACAAACTCGTGTCACCTCACCATATTGAGAGCATTTTGATCGCTAAAAGTCTTTTTTGTATCATTTTCCAGGTTAGTGTCAGCATTTTCCAGGTTAGTGTCATTTCACGCACATTTTCATAGGCGAGGCGGGTCATGCAACAGAACCTGAGTGTATCATCCCTGTGGCAGACCTCCTGGACCCCAATAACCCCAGGGGCGGTCAGCTGGTGCTTGCAGTTAGGACCAATCCTCAGATCCCCGATTTCACAGAAGTATGGACTGGGTGAGTATATCACAGGCAACATCTGTAAACAGCAGTCACTGCACACCTATTTTCTTCATCTAGGGTTTAAGGCTTTAAGTTCGTGTAATGATGTCTATGAATAGACGACAGGAACACTTAAAATTCAGTTATTGATGCAGTTATTTTCAAAATGATAATCCATAGTTTTGCTACTTACCCGCTAAAAAGGAGCAGAAGCGTCCTTCTAAATGAGTCACTCACTCTCTTAACTCTTGTCTCTTATTCACAGAGATTTCTCTTTTGGAACGTTTGATGACGTCATGTCCTGCTTACACTCGTGGTCCCAGCGGGAATTATAACTCTAATCTTTTGACAAAACTTATGAACAACTACCGTTCACATAGAGCCATTATCGAGATTCCTAAACAACTGTTTTATGAAAATGAGTTGAATGAATGTGCTGGAGATTTCAGGTTAGAAAGTCATTCATATTTCTTTTGAACGACGACCCGATTCTACAAAGCCATAAACTCACTGAGAAAATAGCTACACTTTTCGACACTAGCTTCATCTCAAGACAAACCAGCAATACCATTTTTTGTTAACAAAGAGCCTGTAAACGGACAGACTTTCATATTATTTGGACGGGGATACCCGTCGGAGACCTTGGCATGAGGCACAAAAGCATACTAATCTGCACATGACTTGCGCTTTAGTGACTCCCACAAAAAGATAACTGATAAAACTTAGTCTTAGCTGGCATAAGTCAGACTAAAGATGCTTGATTTTCCCTTAACAACACTACTCGCAACCTCCTCATCCGCCTATAGGAGTCAATCAATCAATAAACTTTATTTAAGGAGGGACGCTCATTAACCCAAGGAGTTATCTAACATGAGGCCCTCGGGAGTGCCTGCACTACCCCTCCCTTCCCCCCCCGAATGCAATATTCATTCAAATTCTACACGAAAAGGTCTCGTTGTCTAAAGATAGCCCCTTCCCCTTTCCCTCACCACTTTCCTACGTTAACCAGACTAAAATATAATACATCGTACATACCGTTAATACTGACCTATTTTCTCCAAGAAATATGATGATAGGCTGGGAAGAGCTTCCAAATAAGAACTTCCCGATAATTTTCCATCCGGTGTTTGGTAAGGATGAAAGAGAAGGCAGCAGCCCTTCATTCTTTAACGTGGCTGAGGTAGCAACTATTGAGCGATACCCGAGGAAACTGTTGGACGACAATGTGAGGAGCAGAGGACTAAAGCACTTGAGACCTGAGATGATTGGGGTGATCTCGCCTTACAAAAGACAAGTCAGTAAAAATGTGGATCTTATCGTTTACGAGTACTATACTGGTCTATTTACTTTCTTTAAGGGTCCAGCATCCCGGCGGATCTTTATCACTGAGTGAATTACTTTGAATAGTTATTACTAATTGAAATTATTATTCCATGGCAAGGTGCAAAAGATCCAGAAAATGATCGAAAAAAGACGCTTTGGTGACGAGATCAAGGTTGGCAGCGTAGAGGAGTTTCAGGGGCAAGAAAGAGGAGTTGTCATCTTGTCAACAGTAAGATGCACCAAGAAAGAATATCTGGAGATGGACAAGGACTTCTACCTCGGATTCCTGAACAATGCCAAGGTAGAATCTCTATTTCATCTTTTTGTACTGACTTACCCGTCATCTAATAGCGGCTGAAGTGTAAATGGGAGAAATTATGAACTGGCTTCATTGTTATAACGGTTAAAAACTCCTTTGGAGAATAAGAAATGGCTTGTTTAACCCACGTTTACGATTATGATACCTCTCCGTTTGCCATCCAGTCCTAAGGGTTTATTATTTTGGAATATTCCTTAACCAGGGGTGAAAAATGTGTCATGCTCTTAGAGCTTGGAGGTTGATGAAAGGGTAGTTCATAAATCTTTTGTGAGAAACTCCGCTATCCCACATCCCTACGGGAAATGTAAGGAATATCTATCAATTAATATTTATTGTTTTTCCTCAGAGATTCAATGTGGCCGTAACTCGTGCCCAGGCTCTCTTGATTGTGATAGGGAACCCGGACATGCTGTGCCTGGACAAGAACTGGAAAACGTGAGTGGAACAGATTGCATTTCGCACAACTTTCAGAAAATCAAAATTTAATAAAAGAATGGGCTAGATACAGCTTTGTGAATATCTGAGTAACTCATATCCTTTGCAATTTTTAACTGTATGGGTTCTGTGCTCCCTACTACGGGAACAAAATCTTACATTAATTCCTTTTTTTTTTCCAGTTTTGTAAATTACTGTCGTGCAAACGACGCTACTGTTAACGTGGAAAGGAAAGAAAAGGTGGAAGACATTGCAGACACTTTGAAAAGACTCAACCTCTTCTCTGCAGCAACTTCAGGTGATCAGCTGTTCTGATTTAATTTTGCTGTGAAAAGTAACAGATACACTCTTATTCCAATTTCTGTGGTTTAATTGATCATTTCGTCCTTTATTCGTTAAAATTTTACACCTATGTAAGGGAATTTTTCGAACGTTTTGACAAGACTGAGAGAAAGAAGCAATGGAAAAATCAGAATCCACGAATCCACGAAAAAATGAACTCCATACCTCAGATTTTATAAAACAATGCACTGATACTGCTGAATGGAGAGATATCGCGAACTAAGCCATCATTAAGTTCGTTTGGTAGAATCATAAGCGATGCTGATAAGGAATTTTTTTTCACTTTGAGTCACATTTTGTATTATTGACCGCCGCCTGGTTAGCTCAATTGGGAGAGCGCCGGACTGCTGTGCGGGAGGTCGAGAGTTCAATACCGGCCGGACCAACACTCAGGGTCTTAAAATTAATTGAGAAGAATATGCTTCCTTTCTTTAACATCAAGAAATGGTTAGATATTCTAGTCTTCTCGGATAGGGACGAATAAATGGAGGTCCCGTCTCCTGCAGGGTTGGGGTAGGAGACGTTAATTTCCCACGCACGAGATTACTGTGTGATGGATGTCCTCCCTGGGGTGGGTTNNATCATAATGAACTCGGGGATTTCAATCTGATTTAAAACTCTCAGAACTAACCTTCCAAGAAATGAATGCTAGTGAGTAAGGAGATTTAGCATATTGATCTTGGAACTCCGTGGAAGGTTCTTGTTTTTACACCACTTTGATTGACAAGAGCTTGTTTTCTTTAAGTCTGCACACGCCTTGTTATCAAGTACTGGATTCGTTTCAGTTAAATGTAATCGTTAAAATATGTCGTTCAATCTCTTCTTTTAAAGCTTCTCCAGTTTTACTTCTCTTTTCGACTATGGCTTGTATTAAAAACAGCTTGTTTTCATAATCAAGTGTGCCTTCTGGCATAAATAATACCAAAGAGAAACGTTTGGCAAAACAGCTGTCAACCTCAAGCGCTTACTAGAGAAGTAAACTACAAACACAAACACAAATCCTCAAACACACAAACGATAAAAATCACAAAAAATCAAGCATTTGTTTCTCTTGTCAATCTTTTGTCAGACGTTGCTAAAAGCCTCTCCATTAGCGCGCGACAGGAAGATATCTTTTTCGATGTTATGTCATGTTTGAGAACTTTTATTCCAGCTCATACACTTAGTATTGTAAACTCACAAACGAAAATTGTTTATTCAGAAAATTTTGATTTTGTCGCTTTCGGAGAAAACAAATCTTGAAACATACTATCGATAAAAATAAAATAAAAAAAAAAGACTGACAGAACAAAAATTTGTAGGTTTTTTTTGTCAATCTTTTGTCAGACGTTGCTAAAAGCCCCTCCATTAGCGCATCTCTGGTTGCGAAATCATTTTTTATTTGCTGTTCCTCAGTTGGAGATTTTTTGCTTATGACTTATGAGATTTGCTTATGACTTATGAGATTTGCTTATGACTTATGAGATTTAGGCGCTTAAGAGAAAACGATATTTCGATGGACGAATTGCTTAGTCACGCTTTCCACAAAGTTAACCTGGACGAATTACTTAGTCACGCTTTCCACAAAGTGAACTTTGACCTCGATCAGCCGGCATCTATTTATTTGCGGTTGCGGGTGCATTTGTGGAAGCTGTGTAAATGAAGCGTGAAAGGATACAAAAAAGAGAAGTCACAACATGTCAGAGTTTCCTCTGACATTTGATTTTTTTAAAATTCACGATTTTTAGTTTTTTTATGGACCCTCGACATTTTACCCTCGATCCTCGACATTTTACCCTCGACCCTCAACATTTTACCCTCGACCCTCGACCGAAACCCAAACTGTACTATCTGTGTTAAATTTTGTAACTAAGGATTTACAAATGTGTCAAATGCCTCGCCATACTTTAAGTGATAGGTGCTCTCTCTATTTAAGGAATAAATCTGTAGTTTGAGCAGAATTCTTTATTTTCCGGCACGTTAAACTGAAAAAATTGCGAACTCTTGTCTCGAAAGTTTTACACTAGCAGGATATAGTCACATGGTTTAAATGAATATCTTCATTCAGGTTGTGTAATTCCGTTTGCAAATTCAATTTTTCCATCGACGTCCCTGTTTTTAAAATGTTCTTAGTGTTTTTAATTTCTTTCAATTTTTGGCCTGTAAATCGCGTCACATCCATAGCCGTCGGTGTATTTTTGAAAAATGGAAGTTATTTTTTAGCTTATTTTGCTTGTTTTATTATTTTCTGTGCTACTATCTTGGATCTAACACGGCTGACTTTGGCCAGGTATGCGTAGCTTTTGCTCCCATTGATAACAATCAACTTCAATCGTTAAAAAGGCACGACTAAGTCAGCATGTAAGTACGTAGCTTTTCTTTAGTTTATAAGAGGGCACATAGGTTGTTAAGTGACGTAGTTGAAGGGCCCTAGTCACCCTTAATGCACTGCGCGCGGAAGCAGTAAAATCGGCCATTTTCGATGCCATCGATATTCTGAAATTTTTATTGTCGTTTTCAGATCGCATTGCATCGGCGCAACTAGCCTTCTTTCGAGTGAAAATTATTATTGAGAGTTAGTTGAACTATTACGTAAGAGATTTGCAGGTAAATTTTTGGACGTGCAACGTCAGAATTCCCGCATGTAAACATAAACATGGGCGTGGCTAACTAGGGCCCTTTAAGTTTCGCGAGGCTATTTTCAAGGAGATTTTTCCTCATTAAGACTATTGGTGCCTTTTGCCGTCATATATTCCCGCTGGCTCTTTGTCAGTATAAACTATGACACCATGATAACATGATACTCATCAACTTTCATTTTTTTCTCAAGGAGATCTCAAAGGATCATCTTGTCAATAAATGGCACTTGTTTCTTTGACTACCTAAACGTTTATCTCATTGAGGGTTTTTGTTCCTATTTTTATTTGGGCTTCACAAAAATGTTCTAGAACTTGATTTTTAGGAGATTTTGCTGTAATAAAGACAACAAAGTAGCTAACTTTTATCAGCAATGTTTTTTCTTGTAGAGAAATATTACGATCCTAGACAATTCAAACAACAGAAAAAAGACAGTGCTGAGCTGCGCCAGGCTTTCATGGTTGGAAGGGAGGAGGGGGTCTCTTACGTAGGATAGGGACAGTCTCCGACATAATCAATATGTTCATCTCTAAAAATTTTTAACCCTCAAGCAGACCGACTGTCTTCTTCCCTGCTGTAAAGATATCACGCGTCGCGCTAACCATGAGCTTCTTCTAGGATATCCGTGCGTGACATCCCAGAGAAAAACTGCGAAAGAGACTGGGACAGCCACTGCTCGAGGTCACGCGATCATGGCAAGTTTTTTTTTTTCCCAAGGCGCTCTCTTTTTATTTCGCTAAATCGAGGCTGAGGGTTTCTTAGAGTTAGGAAGCCATTTCGCTTCCCTTTTAATAGTATAACTGTAGCTTCAGCAGCTTGAAAGTGACATTTAAGGTTAGTTTCAAGGTGAAATATCTTCATGAGTGACGAGTGTTTCGGAAGTAAAAGTACACAGGAACAATTTGAAATCAACTGGTGTTCCGGTGAAGGAAATTCAATACGACTTGTTGAACAGACATAACAAGAACTGCTGCTGGAGGTAACTGCTTCTTCTTCCTTGAATATGATATTTTTTCCAAGTGTCTAAATTTGGTTGAACTAGTTGTCGCTCTAACGGAATGGAATGAATATATTTGTAATAATGAGCTTGTTTAGTCGACGGCGAACAAAGAAATTAACTCGTCGAGCAAATTTTCGATAAATATATTTTTTTAATTCAGTTGTTTATTGTTGATTTTCTTTGTCATCGATAGCAGAATGTGTATACAGAAAAGCTAGAGTGCTTGATGTAAACGTTTCTGATTTAACTATGGGCTTTTCAGCGTATACTTGTGAAAGCACAATGAATACCGCCGTGACGATGAAGGACCTTATCGGCGTCGTAATTTATTAGTTTTCTTATACGTTGTCAAATCTTTCGTGCTTACCTAACTTGAAATTTTTGGTCTGATTGAAATAGAATTAGTAGAAATCCAATTATTTCAGGAAACCAGCTGGAAACACGGATGCACTCGAGAGTACTAGTCACCCAACAATCAATCAGCGGAAGTATGATTCGACATAACAGCCTAGTAGTATGGTGGCCGAGAACTGCCATTAAAAATATTCAAATTTATAAGAATTATTTTTGTTATTTATTTTTTTTTTTTAATTTCGATTTATTTCTCACTTTTCTTTTTAAAATAAAAGCAAGTGAAAGTAAAATGTAAAATAGAAATAAAATGAAACCAAAGATAAATGAAATCAAATCAAAATTAAATACTACCCGGCCGAGCGCTGCCACT